TCCCGGTTAATCCCTCTTCCCTGGCATTCCAGAGGTGGGCATGGAGCACTTCCTGAAGAAGGTGGAGGCCGCTCACTGCGCCGCCTGCGACCTGTTCATCCCCATGCAGTTCGGGAGCATCCAGAAGCACCTCAAATCCCTGGATCACAACCACAACCGCAGGGTGAGCGGGAGCAGGGCCTGGGGGGGGCCATCCTGGATCCTTTGGGGGGGCCTTGAATCCCGGGAGAGCTTCTCCTGGATGGTCCCGGGGCTCCAGGGGCTTCATCCAGGGAATCTCCGGGGAATTCTGAGGGATTTGTGTCCCCAGAACCTTTTTCCCCCAGAATCTTTGCCAAATTTTCATGGAATTGTGTCCCCAGAAGCTTTTTCCCATAGATTTTTTGGTTAATTTTGGTGGATTTGTGTCCCCAGAACGTTTTTCCCACAGAATCTTTGCTTCATTTTCATGGATTTGTGTCCCCAGAACCTTTTCCCCACAGAATCTTCAGTGAATTATGATCATTCACAAACTTCTCTCCCCAAAATCTTTGCTTCATTTTCATGGATTTTTGTTCCCAGAACCTTTTCCCCACAGAATCTTTGTTTCATTTTGATGGATTTGTGTCCCCAGAACCTTCCCCCTCAGAACCTCCAGTGAACTCCGTGTCTTTCCCCCCCCATTTCTTGCCAACCAAGCCACCTTTGATCCTTCCCAGCTCCCACACGGGCTGTCATTCCAGACTTTCCCTGGCAGGGCTGATCCCAGGCGGCTCTTCCCGGCCTAAAACCCCCCTCACCCCTCACATTTGGTCCTGGATCCGCTTCCCTGAGGGCGTTTTGGTGTCCCCCCCCCCCCAGGCCATGATGGAGCAATCCAAGAAATCCTCCCTGGTGGTCGCCCGGAGCATCCTCAACAACAAACTCATCAGCAAGAAGCTGGAGCGGTACCTGAAGGTGGGAATTGCTGCTGGAATGTCTCGGAGCTGATCCCTGTGAGGGGGTTTTTTGGGGACTTTTCTGGGAATTGTGGTGGATTCCTGGATGATGCTCGTGAAGTTTCCTACCTCCCCCCCTGGAACCTGAGCCCTGGTGCTGCCCCTGCTGATGGGGGGAGTCATGGAAAGGGTTGGGTGGGAAGGGACCTTTGGGATCATCCCATTCCCACCCCATTCCAAGGGCAGGGACACCTTCCATGGGTCAGGTGGCTCCAACCCGGCCTTGGACGCTCCCAGGGATGTGCCATCCACATCTTCTCTGGGAATTCCAGCCCAGCCTCTCACCAGCCAAGGATTCCTTCCCAAAATCCACCTCAATCCCCCTTTTCCAGGGGGAAGCCATTCCCTGTGTCCCGTCCCTCCATCCCTTGTCCCAAGTCCCTCTCTGGCTCTCCTGGAGCTCCTTTAGCCTTCCCTGCTCCAGGGGAACATTCCCAGCTCTCCCAGCCCGTCCCCAGAGCAGAATCCTGGAATCCTGGGGTGGTTTGGGTGGGAAGGGACCTCAAAGCAATTCCCATTCCCATTTAATTCCAAGGGCAGGGACACCTTCCGTGACCCAGGTTGCTCCAACCCGGCCTTGGTGGATGGGAGCAGCCACAGCTTCTCTGGGAATTCCCTCCCATTCCCTCCCAGGGAGGAATTCCCTCCCGGTATCCCCCGCTCAGCTTGGATTTGGGTTCTGGAAGCAGCAGCTGCTGCGGGAGCTGCTCATTTCCCGCTCGGCTCGGAGGCTCGGCGGGGTCTGTGCCGTGGGAGGTGTGAGTTCCTGCAGCTCATCCGCAGGGGAAGCTCCGGCTGACGGGTGTTGTTCTTGTCTCCTTCCCTCGCCAGGGGGAGAATCCCTTCACGGATGATCCCGAGGAAAAGGAGGAGCACGAGGAAGGGGAAGGGGGAGCCGGCGGGAACGCGGAGGAGGGAGCGGAGGAGAACAAGGACGAGGAGGGAAACCCCGAGGAGGAGGAGGAGGAGAACCCGGAGGGGGAAAACCCCGAGGAGGAGAACAAGGATCCCGAGGAGAATCCCAAAAAAGAAGGGGAGGGAGAGGAAACGGGGCCAGAGACAGAGCGGGAGCCCCGGGCACAGACAGAGCCCGGCGAGGCGGAGCTGAACTCCCCGAATCCAGAGGAGCCCATCCCTGGGGAAGAGCAGCAGCAGGAGGAGCAGGAGGAGGGAATCCAGGAAGCCCCCGCGGCCCCAGAGGACGAGGCCGTGGAATGACCCCACGGAGGGGGAAGGACCCGACGTGCGTGTTGGATGTTCCGGAACCCGCCGTGTCCGTGGATGTTTCCCCTTCTCGTCCCGCCCGACCCGCGGGGCCGGGGGAGCCTTTTCCCTGGAAAGTGATATTATTATTAATTATTAATTATTTTGGGTTTTTGTTTTTTTTTTTTTTTTTTGGGGGGGGGGGGGTGGAACTAGAGGATTTTTTTTGTACCGAACCTCCACGTGTAGTCGCTAGTTTCGTGCGGTCTCTGTTCGTAGGTGGCTTTGTAGGAGATTTTTCCTTTGGAGCATGTGTGGAAGCCGGAGCCGCTCCGGAGCCTCCTCC